CCCGCCCCGTCCCCGCCCGCCCGCGCCCGCCTGCCCTACCGGCGCGCTCCGCCCCTTTACTCCTGGCGGTTGGGCTAGCCGGGTGTCTGCTGTATCGGCCGCGGTGGCGGAGGAGGCCGGAGGGGACTCGGCGGCGGCGAGGTCGGCAGTAGCAGCCGCAGCAGCCACAGCCACCCGTCGTCGTTCCCGCGGCGCCGCCTCCCGAGCCGCGCTCCCCGCCGCCCTCCGCGCTGCCCGGCCGAGCCGGCGCGTCCGCCCGCCGCCGGCGCCCCCGGTCGTCCTCCGGCTCGCCCTCGGCCTTCCGCGCCCGCCGCAGCCGCAGCTCCCGCCGCGGCTCGATCCCCGCCGGGCTCGATCTCCTCCGGGCCCGATCCCCGCGCCGTCGCCCTGGAGGTGGGGATGCTCTTGTCTAAAATCAACTCGCTAGCCCACCTGCGTGCCGCGCCCTGCAGCGACCTGCACGCGACCAAGCTGGCGCCTGGTGAGTGTCCCCCCCTCCCGCGGCCCGGGCCGGGGGCGGCGGCGGGACCCCTCCCCTGCCGGGGGCCCAGCCCGGGGCGGGGCGGCCGGTGCTGAGCGCCCCGTGCCTCCCCCTCCCCAGGCAAAGAGAAGGAGCCGCTGGAGTCGCAGTACCAGGTGGGCCCGCTCCTGGGCAGCGGCGGCTTCGGCTCCGTCTACTCCGGCATCCGAGTCGCCGACAACTTGCCGGTGAGTGGGCGCCCCGCCGCGGGGAGGGCGCGGCGCGCGGGGCGGGGGACGCGCGGGGGGGGGCGCTGAGGCTCCGACCCGGGGATCGGCTCTAATGGGAGATCTTCACGGGGTTTCCAGGTGGCCATCAAACACGTGGAGAAGGACCGGATCTCCGACTGGGGGGAGCTGGTGAGTTTACCCCTAGAGGGGATCGACCCCAGGAATGGGGGTGTGGAGCAAGACTGATCATTACTCTTGCTTTCTTTCTTTCTTTCTTTTTCTTTGTTTCTTTCTTTCTCTCTCCCTCTCTCTTTCTTTCTTTTGATATAATGAAAACAGATCATTATTGCTGGTTTCCTTCCTTCCTTCGTTCCTTACATCCTTTGTGCCTTCCTGTGCTTGATCGATCTTCCCTGACGATGCCTAATGAGGACTGCATGTACATGAGTTGCATAAATGAATGAAGGAGAATTATTTGCAGTGTCATTATGTGAACTCCCACTAGGAAACTTAACTCTTGGACAAAAGCTAGACATATAGAGAAAAAAAATATAAATAAAATAGCAGGAATAGGCTCGACGTCGAGTAAGAATAAGTATTAAAGTGAATACCTGAAAAATGCCTCTG